AGGATGTTCGAGACCCAGCCTGGGCAACAGAGGCAAGTCTCATGCGCGGTGTGTGATTCCTGTAGGCCCAGCCTACTCAAAGGAGGGCTTGGTGGTGGAGGATCACTGACCAGAAGTTAGGAGGGCTTCAGTGGAAGCCGTGAGGTGCCACTGCACTCCAGCCTGGCGGACAGAGTGAGACCCCGGGGTCTCAAAAATAAAAAAGCTGACGCGAGTGGAACGTGGGAGCCTTGCTACCGTTCCTATTCTTTGGAAGTGGCTCAGGTCGCTTTATTGGTTTGAATAAGTTGATCAGACTATTGCATGAGGGCGCGCTCCCGCCTAGCCCCGGGTAGCTCCTGAGGTGGTGAACCCACATGCTGTGGAGTCTGGGGCTTTTCAGCTGGGAACCCGGGGCGCATTAGTGTGCCCGTGTGACGTTTTTCGTGCTTGAAGAGGAATTGATGTCTTTGCTGGTGTGGAAAGTCCTGGTTTCTTTCTCTTCCGCCCCCCGTGCTGTGTGTTTCCCCTTTAGAAACGGAGGAGCCACTGTTGTTGTCTGTGGATTGGGGCGAGTCTATTCGTCTTCAGGTTCTGTTGCCACCTTGCCCCCAGGTGGAGGGACGAGAACGGCTGGGAGCTTGTCAGCAAGGACAGAGAGCTTCAGGGCACCTGCCCGGGTATCATGGCATCTGGTGCTGGTGACTGCCTCAGGGTACTTTTGGTGTTCTTCAGCCCTCAGTTTTCCCCATCATCTAAAACAAAGGGTTGGACTATAGTTATTAAAAGAGTATTTCCTTTTTTTTTTTTTTGAGACACCGTTTGCTCTGTCGCCCAGGCTGAGTGGCAGTGGTGTGTCTCCAGCTCACTACAACCCCTCTGCCTCTGGGGCAGCGATTCTCCTCTCCAGCTCCCCAAGTAGCTGGATTAACAGGGTGCCCACACACCAGCGGCCGCGTTTGGCTAATTTGTTATTTTATAGAGACGGGTTTCACAGTATTGGCTGGGGTGGTCTCAAACTGCTGACCTCAAGTGATCCGCCCACCTCGACCTCCCAAAGTGCTGGGATGACAGGCACGAGCCTCTGTGCCCGGCCAAAAGAGCTGTTTCTGTAACCTGCTGACCCTTTCCTCCAAACTCCGTGTGCAAAGCATAAAAGGTGTTCCTGTCGTAGGGACCCAGACCCTCGCCACATTCCAGTCCCTCTGCAGCAGGTGGCTGCCGGCGGGGACCCAGAGTGCCCCAGGGCTCTGCAGAGCGCAGGATCAGCATCACTCATGAGGTGATTTCCAAGGTTTTTTCTGATTCAGTCCTGGACGCCGCATTTCCACAGTTGAGGCTTCTGGTGCAGTAGGAGTTTGTGGCTTGAGGTTTTGCCCAGCTCTGTGACTCTTGGACATCTCATGAGTTGTGTTTGGGGACTGCAATGTCTGGAGAAGTGCTGTTTCCTGAATCTCTCTCACTGTCCTTGGTTGTGGTGAAATGGAGCTTTTACGTGGAATGAACCTCGAGGCCTTTCATTTGATGCAGCAAAAGTTCCATCTCACCCTTGCTGTTCAGTCAGAGGCAGGGAGGACCGTTTTTCCTAATTCTGCTTGTACTTACACCAGTTTTACTCTCCCCAGACCTATTAGGAGCTGAAGGTAGCCATATCCCAGCAAGACACGTGAGACTCGGAGTAGGGTCTGTGTGTTCCACGGTGATGGGGCCTTCGCCTTGATTAAAGGCATTGATGGTTACGGGCTGCATGTGGCCCAGGACGGCTTTGAATGTGGCCTAACACAAGTCCGTAAACTTGGCCGGGCACAGTGGCTCACGTCTGTAATCTCAGCACTTTGGGAGGCTGAGATGGGCAGATCACCTGAGGTCAGGAGTTCGAGACCAGCCTGGCCAACATGGTGAAACCCCATCTCTACTAAAAATACAAAAAATCAGCCAGGCACAGTGGCACACACCTGTAATCCCAGCTATTCGGGAGGCTGAGGCAGGAGAATCGCTTGAACCTGGGAGGCGGAGGTTGCAGTGAGCTGAGATCACGCCACTGTATTCCAGCCTGGGTAGCAGAGGAAGACCCTGTCTCAAAAAACCCCAAATCTGTAAACTTTCTGAAAACATGAGATTTATGCCCTTCCTTCCTTCCTTCCTTCCTTCCTTCCTTCCTTCCTTCCTTCCTTCCTTCCTTCCTTCCTTCCTTCCTTCCTTCCCTCCTTCCTTCCTTCCTTCCCTCCTTCCCTCCCTCCCTCCCTCGCTCCCTCCCTCCCTCCTTCGCTCCCTCCCTCTCTCTCTTTTGCTCATTAGCTGTCACAGTGTTAGTGTATTTTATGTGTGGCTCAAGACAATTCTTCTTCTTCCAATGTGGCCCAGGGAAGCCAAAACATTGGACACCCCTGGTTTCGGGCCTTGTCTAGCACTGAACCACAGACGGGACTTGGTGACAAATGACACAAGCAGAGGGACCCCCGAGTTCCCCCCCTTCTGCTGGGTCAGGGAATAAGCCTCCATTCTCCTGAGCCCCTGCCTGGTCAGGTGGGAGCTGGGCATCTGCGGTCAGCTGGCGTTTTCCGTCTTGAGTTTTAGAAACTCTTAGCACACCTCTTCTCCTGGCACATTTTACTGGCTGGAATCCCAGCTGCTTTGGGTGTGGGGTTGTTGGCTGGGGAGCTTCCTTGTTCAGTCGGCCTGAGGTCTGGCCTGGGCCAGTTCCTTCCTCCCAGAGTCAGAGGGGCTCCCCAGAACCACCAGCCAGGTCTGCAGGGGGCCCCCTTCCCCACCAGCCCACCCATGACCAGGCGGAGACGCCTTTGAGCCCAGGAGTCTTGATGGGAACAAGGCCTGCGTTCCCGCGGTACAGGGGCATCTTAGGGTCCCCTGGGGTACAGCAGAGCCTGGGCAGCACCCCTGGCTCCCAGTCCAGGACTGTGTCCCATAAAACTCCTTCTTGTCATTTCTTTTGCCTGCACCATCTCCTGCTGAGCTTGACGTGCAGGGCGTGGGGTGAGCTTTCTACCCCTGCCACGGGTGGAGCCGGGGGAATCGTGGGGGGAGCGTGGGGGGAGCGTGGTCTCCCTGAACTGCTCAGTGAGCTGTGGGGACTGAGGGCGGGAGCTGTGGGGACCGGAGCCCTTCAGGGCCCGGGTGTGACTGAAGGCGTCGGTGTTGGGGGTTTCCCCAGGATACCTGCCCTCAGCCTGGCTTGGTTGCGGTTGTGGCTGGGGGGTCGGTGGTGAGCTGTGCAGGTCAGTGGTGGATGGGCTGCCCCCTCCACTGCCTTCCCGGGACCCCTGGTGTCTCCAGAGCTTGGATGCTCCCCGCTGTGGCAGCCGGAGCCCCGGGATTTGGACGGACTCTTCATACCGCAGATGCCTCTGAGCAGTGTGCGTCCGGCCCTGTGCACTGTGCCTGGCCTGTGCCCCCACCGAGCGCTGCTACCCGTGAAAGCCGGGCCGGCGGAGGCAGTTTCTGCGTGGGGTCCGGCCCGTGGGGGCTACCTCGTGTCTCCGGGTGCTGTGGTGATCCTAGGAGCAGGGCATCCCTCTGCCATGACGGGGCCCCCTTCCACTCCAGGACTGCCCGCCGTTTGCTGTGCACTCACTGCCCTGTTGGGCTCTCTCTGTGGCTGTGCTGCCCGCACAGAGCCTCGTGTGAGGGCCAGTGTCCACCGCCACCCCCGCCGCCGAGTGTGGTGCTTCTGCGTGCAGCCCGAGGCGGCCGCCTCTCTTCCTGCATCAGCAGCACGTCCTGCCTGCAGCTGCCGTCTCTCCTACCCTGCGCCCCCTTCCCAGGCCTGCGTTTCTCTCTCCTATTACTGATGCAGAGACCACACCCTCGTTCTCCCCCGTGTCCCTCCCGGGCATCCACGTTTTCCACACAGCTCACAGCGTCCGATGGGAGCTCGGGTTTTCCGCAGTGCTTGATGGAGCCGTAGGAGTGGGGGGTCGGGGGTGCCTGGCTCTCCCAGCGTGTGTGTCGGGAGATTCGCCGGCTTTGCGAAGGCCTGAGGCAGGCGCGGCAGGCCGGGCTGATGAGCAGGAGGGTGGGCAGCCGTCCCGCGGGAACGCAGGCCTTGTTCCCGTCCAGACTCCTGGGCTTCGAAGGCGTCTCTTCTGCCTGGCTCATGGGTGGGCCGGTGGGAAGAGCGGCCCTGCAGACCTGGCTGGTGTTCTAGGGGGCCCCTCTGACTCTGGGAGGAAGGAACCGGTCCAGGCCAGGCTTGGGTCTGAGTTCCCGGGCAGGGGCCGGGTCCTGTAGACTCGCGTGGGTGAGCTCCCCCGTCGCTTCCCGGGTAACGCAGGAAAGAGAATGACGTGGTGGAGAAGCTGAACCTCTTCGTTGGATCTCTGCAGTGGCCTATAAGGTGAGTCTTGTGCTCCTTGGTTGGGGCAAACTTTCTTTTGTTTTTTTTTTTTTGAGACGGAGTCGTCGCTCTGCCGTCCCAGGCTGGAGCTGAGGGCCGGATTCCAGGCTCATGCAAGCTCCGCCTCCCGGGTTCACGCATTCGTCCTGCCCTCAGCCTCCGGTAGTAGCCTGGGGACTTAACAGGCGCCCGCCACCTCGCCGGCCTAGTTTATTGTAATTTTTTAGTAGAGACGGGGTTTCAGCCGTGGTCCAGCCCAGGATGGTCTCGATCTCCTGACCTCGTGATCCGCCCGTCTCGGCCTCCCAAAGTGCTGGGATTACAGGCTTGAGCCACCGCGCCCGGCCAACTTACGTGGGGGGCAGAACTTTCAGGAATGATCTTAGGATCCTTCAAGGGTCTAACTCCTGGGAGACGGAGGAGGAGCTGAGAAGCCAGGGCTGCAGGGGGAGACGGGGCCTTCCGTCTCGCGGGGCTGCTTCCCTCGGCCGGCTCCGCAGGGCCTGGTGCGGACACTGAGGGCAGCGGCGAATGGCTCCCCTGGCCCGGCAGGACCTGTGCGAGCGGCATGAGAAGGGCGTGCTGCACAAGCACCAGCGGGCGCTGCACAAGTACAGCCTGATGAAGAGGCAAATGATGAGCGCCGCCGCGCAGAACCGCGAGCCGGAGTCCGTGGAGCAGCTGGAGTCCCGCATCGTGGAGGTGGGTGGCGTGGTGGCGGAGCAGGCCTGTGGGAGCCTTTCCCCTCCTGGCCATGGTGGGACCACAGCCGTCCTGGTGGGCTCCCCTGGGTTGGTTCCATGTGTCTAGAACAGAGCTGGGGGTGCAGTGGAGGCAGGGAGCCGGCCCGGGTGCCCAGAGTGACGCGGCTCCCTGCCCGGCGCTCCCTCTCTGGCCCTCTCTTACCTCGCCACCTTCCAAATGCCTGGTGAAGGCTGAAGGAGAAGGGGCCGTCCTGGCTCAGGGAGCGCGGTGGTGTTCCGGCCTTGGTGCTCCCGTTGTCGGCTGGGCGCAAAGGGCGGCTGTTTGCTTTGCAGCAGGAGAACGCGATTCAGACAATGGAGCTGCGGAACTACTTCTCCCTGTACTGCCTGCACCAGGAGACGCAGCTCATCCACGTCTACCTGCCCCTCACCTCCCACATCCTCCGCGCCTTCGTCAACTCTCAGATCCAAGGGCACAAGGAGGTGAGTCCGCCCTGCCCTGGCCGCTGTCTCAGCTATGGCCTTTCTTTCTCCCGCCGCCCTTCCTTCCAGCCTGGCAGCGCGGTGGCCGGCCGCCCTTGAGAGGTATTTTAGTGCAGTTGGGGTCCTTATGGGCCTTGGAACACGGTGCTCACCCAGATCTTCTAGTCTCCTGTGTAGCCAAGATCAGAATCGTGAGGGTGTCCCCAGTGATTCCTGCAGGGTGGAGGGAGGCGCAGACAGGGACAGTTTGCCTTCTGGAGGGATTTGAGGAGTCCGAGGCTCCAGCACCCCGAGGCGGAGAGAAGGGTTCTGGGCGCCTGGGAGCGCCGTAGGTGGGTGTTTTTCGAAGATCCCTGGCCAGCCTCCTCCAGATGGCGGTTCCTTCAGCCTGTGAGAAGAAACGCTGCCAAGGTCGTGGGGGAAGCCTCCCTTGATTTCTGGTGGCTAGCTCAGGGCAGCGCCGCTGCGATTACAGGCGCGAGCCCCTGTGCCCGGCTGAAACTCTGTTTATTAAGTAGCTGCAAGCAGTTTTGAAGCCGTGGTCTGTGGTTTGTGTTGAACGGCACCGAGTGTCTGGGATGGTCACGAGATTCCACACTGTCCCCGGGAGGTGCTTGGTGCCTTGGGGGCCGTCCGGCAGTTTGGGAATGGCAGGCCGGAGGCGGCCGTGGTGCGGCTGGAGAGGTGGGACAGCTGCTGTATTAGGAGCATCACTGTGACACGGCCAGGGTCTCAGGGACCAGGTTGGGCTTGGACATGTGAGTGGCTGGGTGTGTTCTCAGTGAAGGAACGTGACCAACAGGCGGGGCCCTGTCCTGCCCGGGGCATGATGCCATAACCCCAGTCCTACCAGGTTTTTTATTGTGGTGATGAGGAATTTCCAGTCCTGTGATGCTGAGATGTGTGTGCTGTGGTCCAGTGACTCAGCCTCCCCTGCAGGCCCCCAGGGTGCGCCCTGCCCTTCTCTGGCCACCTGAGCCCCTGCCCGGCAGGTCTTGGCCTGACCCCTGCCTCACTGCCACGCTCCCCTCCTCCATCCACAGCATCCGTTCCTTACCCTGGTTCCCAAAGTGCTTGGCGAGTGTGGCTGCCGTTTGCATTCGGTTTGGGTGTTACTGATTTGGTGGATGTGGTCTTTGTGTTTCTGGTTTGCTGTTTGGTTTTGAGATGGAGTCTTGCTCTGTCGCCCAAGCTGGAGGGCAGTGGTGTCATCATAGCTCACTGCAGCCCCAGCCTTCCGAGTAGCTGGGACCACAGGCAGGCGCCACCACGTCCGACTAATATTTCTGATTTTCTGTGGAGACAGGGTGTCCCTATGTTGCCCAGGCTGGCCTTGGTGTTTGACCTGTCAAGGCTTCCATGAGGCCAGTGCCCGCACGGCAGCTAGAGCACGTACTGGCAATGACGCGATAGTAATGTTTCTCATGATTCCACGGCAGGCAGATTTGCGGCCCTTTGGTCCTGGGTGCAGGGACCGAGGCATGGGCGTCTGTGACCACAGGTCACATGAGATCGCTGGTCCACTCCTCGTTTGGGCTTCCTCTGTGCAGGATGGGCAGTACTGGTTCTGCCAGAGGTTCGAGGAGCTGATGCACCCGAGGGCCTCTCCCTCCCTGTCACTGGCAGGGGAAGGAATTGGGATTAGAGCGTGAGGAGCAGCCCCGGCCCCGCCTGCTGATGTTGTTCTCTTCGTGTTCCCTTCCAGATGAGCAAGGTGTGGAACGACCTGAGGCCCAAGCTCAGCTGCCTCTTTGCGGGACCACACAGTGCCCTGACCCCACCGTGTTCCCCGCCGGAGGACGGCCTGTGTCCTCACTAGCGCCTGAGGCTGAGGTGGTGCTCCCTGCGGCCACACTAAAACCTCTTTCCAAACGGTGTGTCCGGTGTAATTCCCTTTGGACGGCAGCTCCCCTCCCCACCACGTGCTGCAGCCGGAGCAGAGGAGCTCACGCCTGCGGGTCGGGAGGGGCATCCATGGACCACAGGGGCAGCTGGGCCACACTGCCCTTCGCCCGTGGCCTGCTAGCCTGGTGGAGAGGGGTGGTGGGGTTCTCTGGAATGGTTTTCTTCTGATACCCAGAGCCCTGCTGGGAGGCAGGGATCTCTCATCTAATAGAGTTTGTGCCTGGGAGAGCGTGGGGGCGGGGCGTCCAGGTGCTGGAACAGTCGGGAGGGGCAGCGTCATGGTGCTATCAGCCGAGGAGAGAGAGAGGGCAGGGCCGCCCTGCAGCCCAGGCATGGGACTGACCACGGACAGCAAGGGGACAGCCAGTGGTGCCAAGGCCGGGAGGGAGGACCGTTGGGCATGGGGCACGCACGGTGAATTTTCTAGGGAACTCGCTGCAGTCAACACCAGGAGCCCTGGTCTGGGAGTGGCCTGTGGGGTCCAGTGGCCTCATGCCCTGTGCCCATACCATGACCCCATGTGTGCCCCTGTGTCCACACCATGACCCTGTGTGTGCTTGTGGTCTCAGGCCTGGAAGACAAAGGCGTGACGGAGAGCTGCGGCTCTGAGCGCGGGTGCTACAGCGGCTCTGTTCTCATTCCCTGGACTCCCTTGATTTCTGGTGACCAGTGTTGGAGTCTGCACCGTGCGGCACTGAGGCTGGATGGGCTGGCAGAGGACAGGTGGGGGCGTGGGGGACGTGTGTTCCATTCCAGCTGGGGCTTTAAAGGAGGGATAGCCCCTTTTTAAGTGGATTTTCTTCTCTGAGGCGCCTAGAGCCCTCCTCCCAGCCTCTTGCTGCACACTTGCCGTCCCGGCCACCTGCCCACAGAGGGGACTGGTCTTCCAGGCCCCTTCCCTTCTCTGGATGAGGAAGGCCATTCTCCTGAGCTCTGTGGGGGGGTGAAATGTCCACCTCAGGCCTGGGTCTGCTCCTGCCCCAAACCCCTTTTGTGGAAGGCACATGGAGCCAGGCTGGGCTCCTAGACCCCTGCACTTCTCTGGAGCCTGAGGCCCCTCCCTGGCCGGGGGGAGGTGCTGGAAGAGGTCCTCCGGGCTCCAGGCTTTCCGAGGTCCCTCCTTTCTGCAGCTGCTCGCTGGCCTCCGGGGTGTTCTCTCCTCTCACGGAGGACGCTTCCCTTCTGCCTGTACCTATGGGCAGCTCATGGCCCCGGGATGGAAAGGGGACTGTGTGTGCCTCACAGGCAGGGGATCCGTCGTCCACCGTGAGCCAGCCAGAGGGAGCGGCTGTGCTGACTTGGGGGCTGTGGGGCTCGGGCCCAGCCCGGCCTGTGGTTCTGCTGGTGCCTTCCTGCTGTGGGCTGGGCTGCTTCCTCCTGGCCAGATGAGCAGAGGGCATGTTCCCCCTTGGAGCCCAGTGGGTGGGCTGTCCTGTGAGTCCCTAGCCCACCCGAGTCTTGGGCTGTGCTGCCTTCTGACCCCCCTCTGCAGAGACAGGTTCTCAGTTGGCATGAGTGGCACCGTGACACTTGAGCCATGAAGCATGACCCTGTGTGGGCAGAAGGCTGCAAGGACTCTCCGTCCTTCCTGCACCTGCCTGGGGCCTGTCCAGCTGCAGGACCACGGAGGCTGTGGGGAGCCGTGGCGGGCGTCAGGCGCTGTGGCCTCTGTGTCTCCAGAGTAGGCGAGGCACGCGCTCCTGACGCAGCCCTCCAAGGAGAGAGCAAAACTTCAGAATGAGCTTTTCTGAAGGAGCTTTCCTGGCAGGGACTCCGGGGTCAGTGAGTGTTTGAGAGGCCACATGCCTGGTGGCATCTCCCTGTGGTGGAAACTTCAGGATCAGGGTCTCAGGGTCCTCGTATCCAGAGGCTGAGGACGGAGCTGGAAAGCAAGAGGGCAGGGGTGAGGAGGAAGCAGGAGGGCAGGGGTGAGGGGGAACAGGAGGGCAGGGGTGAGGTGGAGCAGGAGAGCAGGGGTCGGGGGTACAGAAGGGCAGGGGTGAGGAGAGAGCAAGAGGGCAGGGATGAGGGGGGACAGGAGGGCAGGGGTGAGGAGAGCAAGAGGGCAGGGGTTGGGGGGCAGGAGAGCAGGGGGTGAGGGGGGCAGGAGGGTTAGGAAGGCAGGGGTGAAGGGGGGCTGGAAGGCAGGGGTGAGGGGGGACAGGAGGGCAGAGGTGAGCGGGGACAGGAGGGCAGGGGTGAGGACAGCAAGAGGGCAGGGGTTGGGGGGCTGGAGAGCGGGTCCTGGAGAGCAGGGGTGCGAGGGTCAGGAAGGCGGGGTGAAGGGGGGGCTGGAGGGCAGCGATGAGGAGGGCAGCCTGTCTCCCATGTGTGACTGTGGCCACTTCCTGTGTGCCCTGGTGTCGGCTCTGTGGAGGGGTGGGCACTGGCTTTGGAACACCTCCCTCCCAGTGCCTTCGAAAGGGCAGCAGGAAGAGGTCTGCCAGGCAGGGGCAGCAGAGGCCACCTTTCTTCTTCCTCCTTGGCCTCCGCCCTGGGCAGGTCCCCAGGCCCAGGCGCTGAGAGGCTGTTTACTGCTGCAGGTGGAGGTCCGGTGCTGGAGGGAGGGGAGTTCCCCACACGCCTCTCCAGCCCTCCTGCTGCCTATGGCCCAAGCCCAGGCCCAGGCCCAAGCCCAAGCCCAAGCCTAAGCCTGTGCCGGTCATTGCGGCCTCATCCAGCTGGCAGGGACAGCTGTGTGTGATGCTGCTGGAGATGCCAGATGCCATGTGCCCTGCGAGGACGGCTGGCGGGGCCGCGGGAGGGGGACTGCCAATCATGGTGAAAGGGGACATTTTCACTGGGTCCTCCTGGTTCGTGTCCTGCGTACTCGGGGGGCACTGTGCAGACAGCTGCCCTTTGTCTGCTGGAGACAGTGCAGGCAGGGAGACAGGTTTAGGGCTCTGACAAGGGGCACGGGGACTCCGAGCTGAGGGATGTCAGGGCAGCTCTGTGTGTCTGAGGCCTTTGCTCTTGCTTTGCGGGTGTGTTCATGTCCAAAGCACTTTAGGAGGCTGCAGGGATCAATACCCAATATACCCAATAAACTGAAATTGTTTACACGTGACCTACATTTTGGACGGTTTATCAATAAACGTGTGAACAACTGTTATTAAACGTGTATGAAAGTTGGGCAGGGGAGGGGACTAGCCTATGAGGCGTTCAATCTGGGTTTTAGCCTAGAGCCCTTGGCTGAGCCTCAGCTTCCCACACTGTGCAGGGGGTTTTGAGAGGACACATCCCCAGCTTGCGGCTGTGTGTCCGAGCACGTGTGCCCCTGCCCTGGGCCAGCTGCCCGCCTCGGGAGCAGTCTCCATCCTCTCCTACCTCTGTGCAGCAATGTGGGCCGAAGCCCAGCACATCCGGCAGCTTCCTGTGGACCTGGCAGGCTGTGCTGGTGCCCAGAGGAGGACGTTTAAAAGGTTAGAGACCAGCCAGGCGCGGTGGCTCACACCTGTAATCCCAGCACTTTGGGAGGCTGAGGCGGGTGGATCACCTGAGGTCAGGAGTTCAAGACCAGCCTGGCTCACATGGGGAAACCCCCATCTCTACTAACATACAAATATTAGTTGGGTGTGACAGTGTGCACCTGTAATCCCACCTCTTCAGGAGGCTGAGATGGGAGGATCGCTTGAACCTGGGAGGCGGAGGTTGAAGGGAGCTGAGATCGTGCCACTGCATTCCAGCCTGGGCAACAGAGCGAGACTCCATCTCCAAAAAAAAAAAAAAAAAAAAGGAAAAAAAAAACTGCTAGAGACCTTTATTTTTCTTTCCATCCAGTCAATTCCAGACGAAACCCAGCTCCGAGCCACTCGGTGCTCCCAGGTGAGGACAGTTTGTGGCTGTTCAGCAGCCACGTCTCCTGCCCAGGGGCTGCCCTGGGCTCCTGCTAGACCGTGTCCACCTCACGGAGCGTGTAGTCCAGGATGGTGTCCTGACCCTGGAACTTGAAGTACCCGTGGAATTTCTTCTTCTGAAGCAGGAGTGGAAACCAGTAGCTGTCATCGGGCCACATGTCCTTGAAGGGGATCTGGTCCAGCTGGAACCAGCATGGGCGCATTTCTGTACCGAGGGGGGAAGAGGGGCACTGATATGCAACCCAGACTTCATGCTTAAAAACATGGTTTTTCTGGCTGGGCGCGGCGGCTCACGCCTGGAATTCCAGCACTGTGGGAGGCCGAGGTGGGCGGATCACGAGGTCAGGAGATTGAGACCAGCCTGGCCACCATGGTGAAACCCTGTCTCTACTAAAAATACAAAAAATCAGCCAGGTGTGGTGGCGGGCGCCTGTAGTCCCAGCTACTTGGGAGGCTGAGGCAGGAGAATGGTGTGAACCTGGGAGGCAGAGTTTGCAGTGAGCCGAGATGGCGCCACTGCACTCCAGCCTGGGTGGCAGAGCGAGACTCTGTCTCAACAACAACAACAAAAACATGTTTTTTTGTAGAGATGGGGTCTCATTATATTGCCCAGACTGGTCTTGAACTCCTCAGCTCAAGCGATCCTTCTGCCTCGGCCTCCCAGTGCTGGGATTCCAGGTGTGAGCCCCGGCGTCTGGCCAGCCCAAACTTACACTGACTCTCTGAGGAGTTCACCGAGTGATCGTGAGGAACTTGACGATCGTTTATATTTAATCCTCATGACCATGTTTCTCATTTTAGGGTAGGAAAATGGGCGCAGAGCAGGGGCGGGTACACTGCTGGAGCCTCAGTGCAGAGACCACTGCTCATGGGCCCCGCACTGGCACTGTGGGGTGGAGGGGGACGCAGGCTGCCCGCTGCCTGGCACTCAGAGATGGTTTGGGCTGATGGCCTTTCTCCCAGACAGGAGATGGGACCCGCAGAGTGGGGAGGGGGAGCAGGCCCCGTGAGACTCACCGTCGCTCTCCGTGGGGGTCCCCTGGATGCTGTTTGTGCAGAAGATATGCACGTCCATGAGCTCAGGCTCGCCCACGAACTCAAACACGATCTGGCCCACCTTGTGCAGGGCATCCACCGTCAGACCGCTCTCCTCCTGCAGCTCCCTGCGGGCAGAGGTGGATGGGGGAGGGAGGCCGTCAGGGCATGGTGCCACGCCCACACGATGGCAGGGAGGAGGAGCTGGGCATCTACACACAGCCCAGGAAGCCACCAGGGTGGATGGGAGACCCAGGAGGATGTCGCCCAGAAGGCGTTAGCTGGTCCTGACCTGGCTGAGCTTCAGAATCAGCTTGAACTGTGAAGACACAGAGTTTGGTTGAGCGGCTCTGGGGAGGGGCCCGGAGGTGGTGTGGAGCCGCTGGTGGGAGGAACACAGTTCTTGTCTGTGCCGTATGTGCACCAGTGACAGCCCAGGCCCAGTGGAGTCAGCCACTTGTCCATGGTCTTGAGACCTGAGGGTGGCAGGGTGGGGACCAACCCCACTTCCTTCCTTCCCGGTTACTTGCTTTTCCACGGCTGAGCATCAGAGCCCACGTAGCGGTAGTTATGACCGCCGGGGCTCTGGGACGCTGGTTCCGGGAACCCGGGCTCTATACTCTGGGCCTGTCTGCCCAAAGAAATGTCTGTCCAGCCTGGTGCCCCTTCTCTGGGAACACAGGATGAAACCACAGGCTTCTGTGATCTCTTTCCTGAGGGAGGAGCTCTGGTTTTAACTCTGGCCCCCGGGCTGCCCACATGGGACACGTGGCCTGGGCCTCTTCCTGCATGTTCTCGGGACACGTTCCCCACAGCTGTGCCTGGAGGAGGTGTGAGGGGCTGACTTCACCACGGAGTGCTCAAGTGCTGCCGTGCCTGGGAACAAGCCTTTCCCTGCTTCCCGCACACAGAGCCAGAAGGCTTCCCCGAAGTAGTCTAATGCTGTTGCTAATTTAAAAATTACATATTTGTTGTAGACAACCAGGACACAAAACGCCATAAACTCATCACCCAGGAATGCTACCGTTTCAGTGTTTTTCCTTTGGCTTTCTCCTCTGCTCATCTCTTAGAAAATGCAAACATTAACTCTTAATAGTTTAAAGTTAAAAAATAAAAATGCAAACAGGTTGGGTACAGGGTGGCTCATGCCTGTAATCCCAGCACTTTGGGAGGCCAGGGTGGGAGGATCGCTTGAGCCCAGGAGTTTGAGACCAGCCTGGGCAACATGGCAAAACCCTGTTTCTACAAAAAGAACAACAATTAGCCAGGCATGGTGGCACTCGCCTGTAGTTCCAGCTACTCAGGAGACTGAGGTGGGAGGAATGCTTCAGCCCAGGAGTTGGAGGCTGCAGTGAGGTGTGATCACTGCACTGCATTCCAGTCTGGGCAACCGAGCTAGACCCTGTCTAAAAAAAAAAAAAAAAAAAAAGGCAAACGTTATACACACTTTATACCTTGGGCTTTCCACACAAGAAAGGAGGAGTGCGTGACATTCTACACCTTAAGGAATCCAGCCGGCTTCTCAACTCCTATTTGGTATGGAAGAATAAAATGTTTCAACTTCGGGTTATGGTGGAAACCTGTGTTGGGCACAGCGGTGCTGCTGACCTCCCATTCTGAGCGTTTGCTTGCTGTGCTTAGTAGGGTTCTCGCTCAGTCCCTCAGCAGAGGCTTCCCGAAGACCCACTCCATGCTGGGAGACCCTGGGGATACACGGGCTGAGCCGCTGGGTACCTCAGTCTGCTTCTGTTACCATGCCCGGCTAATTTTTCTGTTTTTTTTTTTTTTTTTTTGTAGAGACAGGGTCTTGCTATGTTGCCCAGGCTGGTCCTGAACTCCTGGGCTCAAGTGATCCTTCTGCTTTGGCCTCCCAGCGTGCTGGGATTTCAGGTGTGAGCCACCATGCCTGGCCTAAATGGTCGGATTGAAGTGATGCCTCCTCAGCTTAAACTGCAGGAACTAGAGAGGAAGCAGACCTGGAATCGGCATTTATTCATGGAGATGGCTAATGAAAGTTGGACTTGAGCTAAAAAATTAACGTGTGTTTCTACTTGTGGGGTACAAATGGCTCCCCAATTGGATGCAACAGAGATGTTCGGTGGGGCCTCGCCCGCCTCTTGGCGGCCGGCTGTTGCTCGTCTTCAGAAGCGTCACCTCCCAGTTGAATGTTGTGACTGATTTTAGTTCATCTTCCCCAGCTCATGGCAGCGTAGGAAGCATCAAGAATCCTCCGGGAGACAGAGCTGAAGCTCCATTTCCCAGGCGGGGAGCGCCAGGCAGGTGAAGACAACACTGCTTCAGTTCTGCCCAAGTGTCTGCTCTATTCGTGGCACTTGGTTCTCCACACGGCAGACGGGGAAGACAATGAGAAATTACATGAAACAAACACAGGGTGGTGAGGCCTCTGTGGCGTGGGGAGGTGGGAGTGGCAGGTTCCGGCGGGCCTGCTTCCCATCGCTGCTCCTGCGTCCCTGGCCTCGCTGGTCTTTGGGGATCAGGGATGCTGTCTAGAAAGGTTGGCTCACACTGTGCACTTAAAGCCCAAATCTGCACGCCCCCACGATTCAGTACGCCCCACGTGCCTGTCCCCTGTCCCGCAGAGGAGGGTCTGAGTCTAGCCCTCTGGACCCCTGCAGGCGAGCGGGGAGGGCGCCTAAACCGGCTCTTGGCCTGGGAGTTAAGGCCCGTCCTGGGGTCCTCCTGATAGAATAGGGCTGAGTATTGCGTGGATAAAGCAGGGACCAGCCTCCCTGGAGACTGGGCTGCCGAGGCTCCTCCTGAGCAGCAAGGGCCTGGGGTTGCCCCAGGAGCAAATCCGTTCAGACTGGCAGGTACTGCAGCCCAGGGCCATGCTGGTGGCCTGTGGCTGATGGTACCTCATCTCCTGGACACGAGGCTGTTTGCTGCTGGGTTCCCCTAAGCACCAGCCTGTCTGGCTCCAGCACCCCCGTTCCTCACGCCTGCAGGTGCTCCCCAATGAGGAATTGTTTCTTTTCTTTAAGACGGTCTCGGCCGGGCACAGTGGCTCACGCCTGTAATCACAGCACTTTGGGAAGCCAAGGCGGATGGATCCGTGAGGTCAGGCGTTCAAGACCAGCCTGGCCAACATGGTGAATCCCCCATATCCACTAAAAATACACAAAAAAATTAGGCGGGCATGGTGGCGGGTGCCTGTAATCCCAGCTACTTGGGAGGCTGAGGCGGGAGAATCACTTGAACCCGGGAGGCGGAGCTTGCAGTGAGCTGAGATTGCACCACTGCACTCCACCCTGGGCGACAGAGCGAGACTCCGTCTCAAAAAAAAAAGAAAGATACCGAGGCGGCCTGCAGACTCACAAAGAAGGATGTCCACACGACCTGCAGACTCACAAAGGATATCAATGTGGCCCGCCGACACTGTGAAGGTGCTCCCCTTCCGCAGTCCTGAGGGCACGCAGAACCTCCGCGAGCTCACCGTCCCTACCAACATGGCAAAGATGAGAGAGTACCAAGTGTGGTTCAGCATTTGTTTGAATTAGCGAAACATCTGTGAAAAGACGCTTGGCAATCTCTGCTGAAGCTGAACATCGAGTTTTCCTCCATGGTAACTGTCCACAGGAAAGGGTGCACACGGGCACCAAAAGACACATCAGGACCGTTCCTGGCAGTCGCTTGCAACAGCTCCCAAGGGTAAGCCCTGCACGCACACCTGCAGCAGAGCTGGGGTCCTGCTGCAGAGAGGGTGAGCCTGCAGCAAAGCGGGTGAGCTGCAGCACGGGCCTCTGCAGGGCATTACCCAGCAGCTGGAGGAGCCACTGCTGTGGCACATGTGATGCTGAAAAGAAGCCAGACAAGGGCGCAGCCTCTAGGATCCCACACCATATTTGGGAACAGGCCAAAGTCATCAGCTGTGCTGGAAGTCAGGGTGGAGGGCGGGGTCCCACGGTCCACTTCTTTTTCTTTTCTTTCTTTTTTTGGAGACGGAGTCTGGCTCCTGCTCGCCCAGGCTGTGAAGCGCAGGGCCCCGGATCCTCAGCTCACCTGCAAGCTCCGCCTCCTGGGTCACACCATCTCCTGCCGCTAGCGCTCCCGAGTAGCTTGCGGAAGGTGCCCGCCCCGGTCCGCCGGCTAGTTTTTTGTATTTTTTATAGAGACGGGTTTCACGCGGTGTTAGCCAGGATAGTCTCGATCTTCTGACACCGTAGACTCCGGCATCTCGGTCCTCCCAAAGCTGCCATGGGATTACAGGGCTATGGAGCGGCGGCCCCGGCCCCGCTTCGGTTTTCTTGATCCTATATGTTAGTTAAACAGGTGGACCCATGCGCCAGGTGCCGGTGGCTCACACACTGTAATATCCAGCACTTTGGGAGGCAGAGGCAGCTGGATCACTCTGCGGTCACGATTCCGAGACCCAGCTCGGCACACCACATGCGTGGAAACCTCTCTGCGCTCCGTCCCTACACCCAACCCCTCCACAGAAATAGCCAGATGTAGGTGGCTGCGCCACCTTGTTAGTCCCAGCTACTCGGAGGCTCAGGCACGGTGGGAATGGTCGCTTCGAACCCCGACCGGGAGTGACGGCTGCAGTGAGCGAGATCAATGCCACTCGTAACTCCAGCCTGGGCTAATCAGCGCACAGACCCCCCCCCCCCTCCCCATCTTCAAAAAAAGACACAGGTGGCGGGTGCGGTGGCTCTCCACGACCTGTATCCCAAGCACTATTGGAGGCCGACCGCGGAGTGGTCACAAGGTCAGAAGATACGAATACCATCCTGGCCCACATCTGTGAAACCCTGTCTCCTACTAGAAATATCAAAAATTAGCCGGGCTGGTGGCGGCCGCCCTGTAGTCCCAGCTTCTCCAGGGAAGACTGAGGCAGGAGAATCGCTTGAACCCGAGGCGGAGGTTGCAGTGAGCCAAGATCATGCCACTTCACTCCAGCCTGGGTCACAGAGCCGAGACTCCATCTCAAAAAACAAAAAACCAAAACAAAACAAAACCCACTGTGCAATTTTCTTCTATGTGCATGACACTCTCCAAGTGCAAGTTATGCTGGCGCCCGGCCTCACGCCCTGTATCCCAGCGCTTTGGGAGGCTGAGATGGGAGGATCGCTTGAAGCCAGGATTTGTACACAGCCTGGGCAACATGGCAAAACCTGTCTCTACTAAAAAATAAAAAATTAGCCAGGTGTGGTGGTGTCCGCACTGTAGTAGCCTCAAGCTACCTACGGCGCAGGATGGCTTGAGCTCAGGAGGTCGAGACAGCCGTGAGCTATGACTGTGTCACCGCACTCTATCCTGGGCAGTCCTGATCTTATAGAATGATTCTGGAGAAAGACTGGCAGGAAGTGAATCATTAAATATGATTAAAAAGGGTGAGAGTGCCATGAAGGAAAGATACAGGATGAGATGTGTTGAGAACGACGGGTGGGGAAGGCACTTTCTTAGCTGTGAAAGCTGTCAGGGGTGGGGTGAGGGGACAACCGGATGAAGAGCAAGGTGGGCCACAGCTTGGGATGTCCCAGGAGCAGAGACTGGGGAGGGAGGGGGCAAGGCAAGCCCGTGGGGGGCTCAGTGGCTGACACAGGAGGGCGGCTGTAAGTGCACTGAGAGGTGTTAAGGGTTTAATGTGTGAGTATGCGTCTGTGTGTGTTGCGGGTTGGGGGAGACCCAGATGCAGTCTGGGAAGGGCCACCTGGCAGCTGTGTGGAATGCAGACTGCAGAGGGGAGAGTGGAGGCCGTGAGGGCCAGCCCAGCTACGGGGCTGCTGCACCTGTCCAGGTGAGGGGGATGGGGCCAGGTTACACCCGAGGATGGAAGTCACAGGCTTCCTGCTCTGTGTCTCAGTTCCCCCACTCAAACCCTGGGCTGAGCGCAAGCCACCGCTGTATTCAGCAGTGAGGGTCTGGAGTGCTGGTGCCTCTGTTTGTATAATATTTACAGAGGGTAGGAGGAAAGTTCTTTCGACCGTGACAAAGTTCAGAAGAAAATAAATCAGGGCTGCCAAGGGGGCCTGTGCTTTGCTTGTCACCAGCAGGACAAGGAGAAGAAATCCAGCCACGTGGAGCTCCTCCATCCAGCCTCCTCAGCTCTGCCGCCTGCTGCCCTCACACCCCCCACTTCTCTGCACAGCTGGCGCTCCTCCAGCCCTCTGTGCTTCTGCGAAGGTCTCCTTCCTCCCTCCCTCCATGCCCTCCCAGCCAACGTCAAGCCCTCAGAGTGTTTTCCTGGTACCCAGTTAATCACCCTTCCTTTCTCCTGGAGGCCCCTGGCCACCAGGTGTGGACCAGACCTCCTTCTGCAGGTCTCCTCAACCCGGCGCCAGACAACACGAGAGCTCCAGAGGCAGGGACTGACCTGTTCCTCCCTGTGTCCCCAAGCCCCACACAGAGCAGCGTTACCGAAATCCATGAGGTGATGGGTGGTCTTACCAGATCAAAGACAAAGGGCTGGGCAGGAGAACCCCCAGGGCCACCTCTCCTGCCTGTTTCCTGTGCTGTTGTTGCTCTGCACACACTCCTGGCATGGACACGCTGGATGCCTGATTCACACCCAGTGGTCCTCCTCCCCAGCTGCGGCCCCCAGCACAGCCTATCGCACTGGCACCTGCCACGGTGACTGATCAAATGTGTCTGCATGGCTGGAGCCCGGGGTCTCAGGCCTTAGAGGGGAAGCACACGCAGGGCTCTCCAAACTGAGGGTTGGGACCCACATGATCCGGGAAATCAGCTTAGTGGATTACAATTGAAAAAAAGGGTCAAGCCAGTGGCTCATGCCTGCAATCTCAGCACTCTGGGAGGCCCAGGAGGGAGGATCGCTTGAGCCCAGGAGTTAATGAGACCCCATGTCTACGAAGAATTAAAAAACTGAGCATGGTGGCATGTGTCTGTGGTCCCAGGTATTTGCGAGACTGAGGCAGGAGGATCATTTGAGCCCAGGACTTTGAGGCTGCAGTGAGCCATGAGGGTGCCACTGCACTCCCGCCTAGGTGAGATCCCATCTCTGGAGAAAAAAAGAGACATGAATCGGAAAAGTAGAGTGCCCTTTGATGTAATAAGGGCAGCTACTGCAACTTATTTTAGCTGTACCTGCATACCTGAGTGTGTATACTCTATCATATAAAACGTGTTTCTTACTGCAGGTTGTGATGAAAAAATTGGAAAACCACTGGGGTCCTGGCTTTCTTGCGTGCCAGGACCCTCTTTACTCTGTAGTTCTCCTCTCCAGGGAAGCTGGCCTACCTTTCTCAGAACAAAAACATGAATGGGGGCTAACATCTGTGCAGCGATGTTTACACAGATGATCTCATTTACCCTGTGAGGGGTGAGGGGTGTCTGGAGGACTGTGTGATCTTGGGTAAACGGCTCAACCTCTCTGGGCTGCAGTTCCTTCCTAGGTGAAGCTGGCTGTGTTGAGGATGCAGACTTTGTGTACACTGGGTGTGAGATAAAAGCAATCATCAGCGCCACTGAACAGACAGAGGAACCAAGTGACTGACGAGCCCTTCGGTGACAGTGAGGGTGCCGGGAGGGTTCAATTCAAGCCATGATGCACAGAAGCTTCCAGATACACCCTGAAGCCCCCAGCACTACCACGCCACAACAGCTAACACGCACTCAGCACTCACTACACACCATGCACAACAGCTAACACACACTCAACATGCACCACACACCACACACAACAGCTAACACACACTCAGCACTCACTACACACCACGCACAACAGCTAACACACTCAACATGCATCACACACCACGCACAACAGCTAACACGCACTCAGCACTCACCACACACCACACACAACAGCTAACACACTCAACATGCACCACACTACACACAACAGCTCACACTCAACATGCACCACACAGCACAGCTAACACACACTCAGCACTCACCACGCACTGTTCTAAGTCCTTTGTGTTCATTTCCTCATTTAATCTTCACAAGAGTCCTAAGGGCTGCGGACTGGTCTTCATTCTGAGATGAAGACACTGAGGCTCACAGGTTAACTCCCTGCTCTGGGTCACTTAGCTCTAAGTGGTGAAACCAAGGGTGTGGCCCTACAGCCCAAATCCCTGTGCCCTGGGAAAGCCGGTTCCACGGCCAGACCTGCCCTGTCCTTACCTCCTGGCCCCATCCTCGATGGTCTCTCCTTCTTGCACTTTGCCCCCAAAACCATTCCACCGGCCGGCCCCGAAGCCTCGCTTTTTCATGCCCAGGAGAACTCGCTGAGGCTGCAGGACCAGCACCAGGGTATAGAGCCTGGAGGCGCCCATGGTCCCTGGGTTCTGAAACGAAGGCGAGAGGGCAGTCAGTTATGATGCGCGTGGAGGAAGCACGTGCCAGGGGCCAGGAGGACTGGGATGTGCTCTGGGAGGCAGGGTGGAGGGGGGTACGCTATAATTCCCCAGCCCTGCCACGTGTGGCTTCCCTTGTGGCAGGTGGAAACCTGCCATTGAACCAATGATTTTCTGGGGTAGAAACAGAACCCAGTGGTCAGCAGGGCTGATCAAGCAGAACACAGGCTGGCGCTACCTTCCTTCTCCACAACTCAGCCCTCAGGTGCAGAGGACGTGACCTTTCCAGACTGCACTCTTGCTCCTGCGTCTACCCCCAGGAACGCCCTCCCATAGGCACACAGTGGGGAACAACGGTCCCCGTGCCTGACTAGCACCAAAATAACCACAGTTTATCCTGTGGTTCTCAGGTCAGGCTTCAACTCTGGCCTTTTGATTAATAGGAGCTTCTTTCAGTCTAGTGGGACCTGGCCTCTCTGTAGCAGGCTTCCAGATCCCCAGGAAATGTGTGGTTGTAGACACAGGTCCACCCAACAGGGCCTGGCTAGTCCTCCCTCCTGTGACAGGAGTTTGTACCCCACTCACTCTGCTCCTACTGTGGCTACTGTAGGACCTGGCACCCAGGGGGGCCACTGGAAGTCGCAAGGGCCCTTCCTGCTCCCATAGGTGTACAGGTTCAGGTTCAGAGGACTCTCAGGGTGATGCCTCAGCCAGGTCCCTGATGGAAAAAGGACCCTGGAGAAATGCTGGAGGGCCAGGACCAACTTTCCTTTATTTATTTTGAGACGAGATCCTGCTCTGTTGCCCAGGCTGGAGGAGAGTGGCATGATCTCGGTTCGCTGTAGTCTCAGCCTCCCTGGCTGAAGCCATCCTCCTGTCTCAGCATCCCACATAGCTGGGACCACAGGCATGAGCCACCACACCCAGCTAATTGCTGTATTTTTAGTAGAGATGGGGTTTTGTCATGTTGCCCAGGCTGGTCATGAACTCCTGAGCTCAAGCAATCCACCCACCTCAGCCTCCCAAAGTGCTGAGATTACGGGCGTGAGCCACTGCGCCCAGCCAGGACCAACTTTTCTGGGGTCCACACCTGGCTGAGACACAGGATTCAGGACCAGTGATCCTCCTTGGAAGCTGTGGTGTCTGAGAAAAGGGACTCGATGGTAAGCAAAGAAGAGGGCAGGGAAGTGCTGGGTAGAGGAGGGAGTGGTCTCTGGCTAGGGCTCCACCCCCAGGCCTGTGCCCAGGGACCTAGGTGAGGACAGGCATTTCTGTTTTCCTGCCCAAATGTTGCATTTCCCAAGCCTGCCACGTCCCAGTCCTGTGCCTATAAAACCCCCCAGACCCTAGTGGGCAGATACACAAGCTGCTGGATGTCAAGAGGACGTGGAAAGCACAATAACAGGCACCAGCAGGGAATCAACTGGAGGAAGCATGAGTTTGGCACGGGCGTCAGAGGAGAGCCAGGCTGCTCAGGAGAATCACCTTCCCACTCCAGCTCCCTTCTGGCTCCCCCATCTGCTGAGGGCGAATTCCACTTATAAAACCTTGCACTCTCTCTCCAAGCCGCCCTGTGATCTGTTTGCTCCGGTACATTAAGGCAAGAAACGCGGGGACACAGAAAGCCCTCTGTCCTTGCGATAAGGCAGGGAGTCTAACAGCTAACACAAGCCACCTACAAGGCTGAACTTTCAGAGTACCCTCTAACACACGCCCACGGGGGCTTCAGGAGCCGCAAATATTCACCCCCAGACACTGCCTGCCCGTCTCTATGCTCCCCTAGAGGCTTGAGCAGCGGGGCACTGAAGAAGTGAGCCACATCCCCATCGCAGGCCCTTCGAGGAGGACAAGGGAACCTTTCCCGTGTCACTCAGACTGGGTCCTGGTGGCGGAGGCAGGTCAGACAGGGTAAGCGGGTTTGTGGCTGAGCTTCACACCAGGCCCGTGTACTTTGTCCCGACACTGATCTGTTCCTGCCAGGAGCCACGGTTTCCAAAGTAAATTTCAGTGATGATTTACTCCTGGTCTCCCCCAAGCCTCCGCCCCGCTCTCCTCGTCTCTCCCCCAAGCCCCCGGCCCCGCTCTCCTCGTCTCTCCCCCAAGCCCCCGGCCCCGCTCTCCTCGTCTCTCCCCCAAGCCCCCGGCCCCGCTCTCCTGGTCTCTCCCCCAAGCCCCCGGCCCCGCTCTCCTGGTCTCTCCCCCAAGCCCCCGGCCCCGCTCTCCTGGTCTCTCCCCCAAGCCCCCGGCCCCGCTCTCCTGGTCTCTCCCCCAAGCCCCCGGCCCCGCTCTCCTGGTCTCTCCCCCAAGCCCCCGGCCCCGCTCTCCTGGTCTCTCCCCCAAGCCCCCGGTCCCGCTCTCCTGGTCTCTCCCCCAAGCCCCCGGCCCCGCTCTCCTGGTCTCCCCCAAGCCCCCGGCCCCGCTCTCCTGGTCTCCCCCGAGTTCCCGGCCCCGCTCTCCTGGTCTCCCCCAAGCCCATGACTTGGCTCCCCCGTTCTCCTGCCGCCCGCTGGCCCGGCTCCCCTCCCTCCCTGGTCACCACCACTCCTCGGATCCTCGCGCGCGCTTTTCATACCTGCACCGCCGCTTCCGGGGGCCGGGCCTCTGACCGGAAGTGAGGTCAGGCACTTCCGGCAGCGCGCTGCCGACGTGGGGAAAATCCATGGCGGGGTGAGCGGGGCGCTACTTCCTTGTGTGCAGGTTACGGGAGTGGTTGGGGGTCCGCCCCGTCGCCTTCCTTGGTCCTGGCCTCGGGGCTGGGTGACGAGCGCTGGGCACTGTGGCCGCACTTAGGGAGCGCGACAGGGACGAGGCCGGGATTCCTGGTCGCAGTTTCCCGGGAGGAGGGCGCCCTCAGGTCTCCAGGGGCAGGGCCAGCTGGGCCGTGGGGAGGCTGGGGCCGGGGGCAGAGTCCAGGTGCGGGGGGCAGCGCCGGGGCGCAGATCCGAGGCGCCAGGGGCGAGCCGTGGGCGAGAGTTCGTTTCGTGGGCGGGGTAGCTCCATTGCCCACGCTTCCTGGGCTGTCGAGTGGGTTCTGGCCCCCGAGACCGGCCTGTGCCATTTTCCCGGGAGACCCCTTAAGCCAGGTGAAGACAGCGACTCACGGTCAGCCGTCAGTGCCTCCTGGCTGGTCAGCACGCTTTGGTGCTGCAGAAGCTGGAAGCTTTGGCCTTGGAGCCATGGGGTAGTAACTTTTATTTATTTATTTAAATCAGAAAGACATAGAGACCGGGCTTGGTGGCCCACACCTGTCATCCCAGCACTGTGGGAGTCTGAGGCAGGAGGATCCTTTGAGCCTAGGTGTTCGAGACCAGCCTAACCAATATAGTGAGATGCCATCTCTAAAAAAAGTTTTTAAAAATTAAAAAAAAAAATTAGTCCAGGCTTGGTGGTGCACACCTGTAGTCCCAGCTACTCAGGAGGCTGAGGTGGAAGGTTCACTTGAGACCCAGAGGTTATGGCAGCAATCAGCTGTGATTGTGCCACTGCACTCCAGCCTGGGTGATGGCGAAAAAGAAAAAAAAAGAAAAATGGCTGGGTGAGGTGGTTCACGCCTGTAATCCCAGCACTTTGGGAGGCCAAAGTGGGTGGATCGCCCGAGGTCAGGAGTTTGAGACCAGCTTGGCCAACATGGTGAAACCCCATCTCTCCTGAAAATAGAAAAATTAGCCGGAAGTGGTGGCACACACCTGTAGTCCCAGCTACTCAGGAGGCTGAGGTGGGAGGTTCACTTGAGCCCCAGAGGTTGTGGCTACAGTCAGCTGTGATCGTGCCACTGCACTCCAGCCTGGGTAATAGCAAAACCCTGTCTCTAAAAAAACAAAAAGAAAAAAGAAAAATGGCCGGGTGCAGTGGCTCACACCTGTAATCCCAGCACTTTGGGAGGCCAATGCGGGCGGATCACCTGAGGTCAGAAGTTTGAGACCAGCCTGGCCAACGTGGTGAAACCCATGTATACTGAAAATACAAAAATTAGCCGGACGTGGTAGCAGGTGCACGCCTGTAATTCCAGCTACTTGGGAGGCTGAGGCAGGAGAATTGCTTGAACCCGGGAGTCGGAGGTTGCGGTGAGCCACCACTGCACTCCAGCCCGGGGGCCAGAGTGAGACTCTGTCTCAAAAAAAGAAAAAACGACATAGAACTTACTTGGTAAGGTTGTTCTCAGAATTAAATGAGGGGAGGTGTGTATAGCTTCCTGCTTAGCTATTGTGGGCTGTGAACAAATTGTTACAGCATAGCTTGTCCAGAGAGTGTTGGAAATTGTCCTTCAATGATTCACACAGGTTTAGTTCAATTTTATGTTAAGACATGTAGGTGAGAGGATTGTTTGAGCCCAGGAGTTCCAGTCTGCGTTGAGCCGTGACCTTACCACTGCACTCCAGCCTGGGCTATAGAGACCCTGTCTCAAAAAAAAAAAAAAAAAAGGAAGGAAAAGAAATATGACAGGCCAGTCCCCCCGTATTATTGCCAAAGCCCTGAACTAGGTAACTAAGGCAAGGATCTGTCCTTAGGAGGTTTTCTTGCAGTCTCTCAGAACTCAATGAACATTTTTGCCACATGAGAAAAGAATATTACTTTAATTAATTAATTTACATATTTACTTATTTTTTGAGACAGAGTCTTGCTCTGTCACCCAGGCTGGAGTGCAGTGGCACAATCTCGGCTCACTGCAACCTCTGCCTCCTGGGTTCAGGTGATTCTCCTGCCTCAGCCTCCCGAGTAGCTGAGTTTACAGGCACGTGCCACCACGCCTGGCTAATTTTTGCATTTTGGTAGAGACGGGGTTTCACCATGTTGGCCATGGTTGGCCAGGCTGGTCTCGAACTCCTGACCTCAGGGGATCCACCTGCCTTGGTCTCCAAGAGTGCTGGAATTACAGGTGTGGGCCACCATACCCGGCCCCCTAATCTCTTTTTATAAGGACATCAGTGCTATTGGAATAGGGTCTACCCATATGACCTTGTTTTAACTTGGTCACCTCTTTCAGGTGTGTGGGTGTATTTGGGTCCTGTCTCCGAATACACCCATATTCTGAGGTACCAAGGGTTAGGACATCAACACATGAATTTTGTGGGGACACAGTTTGGCCTGTGATGCCTGCTTTTCAGCTGTGTAGCCTTGTCAGTTCACCTCCCCTCCTGGGCCTTGGTGCCCCATCTCTAGAAATGAATGAGTTGATCCGAGGGCCCCCCCAGCTTGTGGCCTGCCATTCTGTGTGATGCCAACCTGCCTTCTCCTCTTCTCTCCCACCAGGTACTTGAAGCTGGTGTGTGCTTCCTTTCAGCGCCAAGGGTTCCATACTGCTGGGAGTCGCTGCAAGAATCGGACAGGCGCTGAGCACCTGTGGCTGACTCGGCAACTCAGGGACCCGTTTGTGAAGGCTGCGAAGGTGGCGAGCTACCGGTGTCGAAGCGCCTTCAAGCTCCTGGAGGTGAACGAGAGGCACCAGATTCTGCGACCTGGCCTTCGGGTATTAGACTGCGGAGCAGCTCCTGGGGCCTGGAGTCAGGTGGCGGTGCAGAAGGTCAATGCCGCAGGCACAGGTGGGGCCTCTGCACTGCTGTTGGCACCTTCTGGCTACCCTGAGGTTGAGTGGGCATGGGCAAGCTGCCTCTGCCAGTGGATGCAAGATGCTGGAGCCCTTTTCTAAGGCGTGCGCTTCTGAGTGGGTGGTTTAGTAGGGGTGATGATAAAAATAGGATGCTGCCATTTTCAAAATGAAAGACAAAGTAGAAAGGTGCGGTGAAAATGGAAATCACCTCGCATGAGACCGCCCGGATGTACCAGCACCAGCACGGTGGTGTGCATCTTTCCAGGCTTGTGTTTGCATAGATCCCTCACATTTTCAAAAGCGATGTTGTTCCATACTCTTCTTGCTAATTTGCAGCCTTACTGGAGCTATTTTTGCTTAATAATACATACATACATATATACATACATACATAGATACATATATATTTTTGTTTTGTTTTGTTTTTGTTTTTCCCCACCCTAGAGGGAATCTTCCTCTGTTGCCCAGACTGGAGTGCAATGGTGTGATCTCAGGGTTCCTGCAGACCTCCGGGCTCCCGCAGTTTTTCAAGTGATTCTCCACCTCAGCCTCGAGTGGCTGGATTACAGGTAGCCTACACCACACCTGGTCAATTTTTTTTTGTTGTTTTTCTGTAAGGTAGAGTAGCAAAGATTTCACCATGTTTGCGCGAGGCTGATCTCAAACTCTGGACCTCAAGGTGATCCGCCCACCGTGTGGCCTCCCAAAGTGCTGGGATTTACAGATGTGACCCGGTGGCCGCTACTCTGTGATGTATTGAGATGCTTCCCAACAGCGACCAGCTTAATTTTCCAAGTCCCGTAAGCCCTGAGCTTCCCGGTGGGCCCACTGGGCTGGCTCCCCTCCGAACGTAAGGAAGAGGCTTCATGGCCAGGAGCTATGGATTCGCCACTCTGGTGAAGCTGAGACGCAGTTGTTCCAATCTTGTTCTTATGATTCTTGGGTTTTGAGTTAAGAGTTTTCTGTATAGAAGGTTCCCTGGGAATACATGAGATCACCAGCTGCCATACGACGGAAGACACGTCATTCATTGGAAAGTTTTCATCCTGTCCATGCTAGGCGCTTGCAGCATAGGGCTTTAGCCAGGCTCTTCACTTGATGGGCGGTGCAAGCTTACTTTTGGCTTTGTTGCTATGGGATGCGTGTGTGTGGAGAATACCTTGCCGTTGTATATTTCCCTGCTTCTAAAAGCCAGGGATAGCTGCATGTCCTGGCATTTTGGAACAGAGGGTGAGCTCGAAGGTCCACCCAGGGAGTCTCGCAAATACTTTCTGTTCGCGCAGAATTCACCCTTAAGGAGTGTAGGGGACACTGTCGGTCCCCATTTATGTGTCGTGACGGAAGGTCCCAACTGAGGTTCAGGGTTGTCGATGGGACTGTTTTGTTGAACGTGCAAGACCGCTGGGGAATCTGGGCTGTAATCTGCGCCCACTGTGGTTTGCGGTATCTGCCCGGAATCGTCAGCCTGTGGCGCAATCCGTGGTTGGGTGGCCCCTGCCCAGACTTAGGCTGGGATATGCCTTTCTGGCTTTTGAACAGCCCTTTTTTTTTTTTTTTTTTTTTGAGATGGAGTCTCACTCTGTTGCCTCAGGGCTGGAGCGCAGTGGTTGGCTGCGCATCTGGGCTCACTGTAATCTCCACCTCCTGGGTTTAAGTGATTTCCAGCTAATTTTTGTATTTTTAGTAGAGACGGGGTTTAGCCATGTCGGCCAGGCTGGTCTCGAACTCCAGACCTCAGGTGATCCTCCTGTCTCTGCCTCCCAGCATCCTCGAGGTGCTTCCTGGTGCGTCCATTGTGGTCGGCCTGAACAGCCTTTTTATTGTTTTTCAGCTCAGCATTTATTGACTAAATAAGTGGATTTGTGTTGGAAATGTCAGTTCCTTTTCTCATTGCTGAGCTTATCACCGTGGAGTCCTCCTAGTAACTGATTTCAGTGGTTTCTGTTCCCCTAAGTGCTCCTCAGATGAAGCAGGAGAGTGGCTCAGCGTGCCTTGTAGGAAGAAGTGACAGAAGGAGACAGCGTGAGCGTGATCTGCCTGGGCTTGTCCTCCTGGAAGTCACAAGCATGCAGCCAAAGCTGTTTGCCTTCGGTGGAAATTTCCCAAGGTTGTAACATATTGGATATTATAGGAGCGAAAGCTCAGGAGCATAAAGTGAGGCATGAGGCCGGGCGCGGGGGCTCGCGCCTGTAACCCCAGCACTTTGGGAGACTGAGGTGGGAGGATCACCCGAGGTCAGGAGTTCGAGACCAGCCTGGGCAATGTGGTGAAACCCCGTCTCTACAAAAAATTAGCCAGGCGTGGTGGCATGTGCCTGTGGTCCCAGCTACTTGGGAGGCTGAGGTGGGAGGGGTCGCTTGAGCCTGGGGAAGTCGAGGCTGCAGTGAGCTGAGGCCATGCAGTGGAGTGAGACCCTGTCTCTCTCTCTCTCACACGCACACACACAAAAGGATAACTTGCTGATATTTGAGTAACGCCAGTTGTAAAACTAAAAAGGTGCCATTGTGTCACCTTAACCTAAAACAAGACTTGTTTCCTATAACTGATGTCAGCGTCTGCCTCCCCCTCTTCTCACTCTGTACCTACATTCAAAGCCCCTCTCACAAGCCCAACACCCCATCTCCCCAGCAGTCCCCTCCACTGAGGAGAGCCGTAGTTCTGTTGAGAAGTGTCGGAGTTGATAAGCTAAGGGTAGAGTCACAGATGTTCTTGTTCAGTCTGCTTAACAGAAAGGCTGTTCCAACGGTAGGGGGCGAGGAAGAGACCATGTTTCATTCCTAGTTTAAACATTGGAAGTCCAGGTATTTTGAAGATTACCTCATTTTTCAAAGGTGAAACCCCTCAATCTTCAGCCCAGGAAAATGGGACGCCTCACGCCTCATTTTTTTTTTTTTTTTTGAGACGGAGTCTCGCTCTGTCGCCCAGGCTGGAGTGCAGTGGCTAGATCTCAGCTCACTGCAAGCTCCGCCTCCCGGGTTCACAGCATTCTGCTGCCTCAGCCTCTTCTGAGCTGGGACTACAGGCGCCCGCCACCTCGCCCGGCTAGTTTTTTGTATTTTTAAGTAGAGATGGGGTTTCACCGTGTTAGCCAGGATGGTCTTGATCTCCTGACCTCGTGATCCGCCCGCCTCGGCCTCCCAAAGTGCTGGGATTACACGCTTGAGTCACCGCGCCCAGCCTCATGCCTCATTTTAGCTGGGTCTCCTGAGTAGCTGAGACTACAGCTAATTTTTATACTTTTTTTGTAGAGACAGGATCTTGCTATGTTGCCCAGGCTGGACTAGAACTCCTGGGCTCTAGCAGTTCTCCTCAGCCTCCCAAAGTGCTGAGATTTTAGGTGTAAGCCACCGCACCTAGCTGGTGTCAGTTTTTGTACATTATTTTGTATGTGTTCATTTTCCTCATCTCTTGACTTATTTCCAGTAGTTTCTACATTGGAAGCAATTGGATTAAGGTGGAGAAGGAGAATGGATTTATTGATTTAATCCAGAGGCACTTTATGCACTAGTATATTATTTTCTTTTTCTTTTTTTTTTTTTTTTTTGAGATGGAGTCTCGCTCTGTTGCTGAGGCTGGAGTGTAGTGCTCTTGAGATGAAGCAAGAGCATGCCTTGTAGGAGAAAGTGACAGAAGGAGAGAGCGTGAACGTGATCTTGGCTCACTGCAACCTCCGCCTCCTGGGTTCAAGAGATTCTCCTGTCTCAGCCTCCCGACTAGCTGGGATTACAGGCATGTGCCACCACACCTGCCTGAGTTTTGTAGTTTTAGTGGAGACAGCATTTCCCCATGTTGGCCAGGCTGGTCTCGAACTCCTGACCTCAGGTGATCCATCTGTGTCAGCCTCCCAGAGTGCTGGGATTATAGTTGTGAGCCACTGCGACCGGCCTATTTTCTATTGTAGTTTATCAAAAAGAGCACTCAGAGATAAGAACCCTTTCACAGAGAGTGAGCCTTGGGTAGTGAAATGATACCAGATTTGGAATCAGAAGTCCTGGCGCTTGGCACAGGTCTGCCCATGGCTGAGGATGACTCTAGGACAGTTACTTCCTGTCTGGGCCTCAGCTTCTCAGATGTTAAGGCCCACGACCTCCCCCACCACGTGTCTTTATAGGATGTATAGATAGAAAAGGCCTGTGTTTACCTATTTGCACATTAGCTCTTTGCATTGGTCTTGACATTTTACTTTTATTTCATCATTTTGTTGCATGTACTATATTTTTGTGAAAACATTCAGGGTGTAAATAAATAACACATTCACCATTTCTTCCATAGATCCCAGCTCTCCTGTTGGCTTCGTGCTTGGGGTAGATCTTCTTCACATTTTCCCCCTGGAAGGAGCAACTTTTCTGTGCCCTGCTGATGTGACTGACCCGAGAACCTCACAGAGAATCCTCGAGGTGCTTCCTGGTGGGAGAGCAGATGTGATTCTGAGCGACATGGCGCCCAATGCCACAGGGTTCCGGGACCTCGATCATGACAGGCTCATCAGCCTGTGCCTGACCCTTCTCAGCATGACCCCAGACATCCTGCAACCTCGGGGAACATTCCTTTGTAAAACCTGGGCTGGAAGTCAAAGCCATCGGTTACAGAGGAGACTGACAGAGGAATTCCAGAATGTAAGGATCATCAAACCTGAAGCCAGCAGGAAAGAGTCATCAGAAGTGTACTTCTTGGCCACACAGTACCAGGGAAGGAAGGGCGCTGTGAAGCAGTGAGGATTTCTTGTGCCATTTTCATAATGGTCATTAGCTTCTTTTAAGCTCGAAACGTAGCCTGAGCTCCTTGCGGAAGAGTTCCTGGGAGATCTGAGCTGATTTTGGAGATGGAACAGGACAAGTGGGGAGTCTCTTTCTTTTTTTTTTTTTTTGAGACGGAGTCTCGCTCTGTCTCCCAGGCTGGAGTGCAGTGGCGCGATCTCCACTCACTGCAAGCTCCGCCTCCCGGGTTCACGCCATTCTCCTGCCTCAGCCTCCCAAGAAGCTGGGACTATAGGCGCCCGCCCCCACGCCTGGCTAATTTTTTTGTATTTTTAGTAGAGACGGGGTTTCACCGTGTTAGTCAAGAAGGTCGCGTGAGCCACCGCGCCCGGCTGGGAGTCTCTTTCTTTCTCTCTTTTTAACCAAAAAGAGATGACAAAACTAAGTTCAGGGGCCATGGAAAATTAAAAAGTCCTCTATATTGATCTGTGAAGAGAAAGTTATCAAGAGAAAGAGGTGAGGATGGAAGGATGAAGAGAGACAGACTGTGGGAAGAATCAGAAGGAATCTGCTGAGGCAGGGATGGGTGTGCCCATGTGTGTCTTGACGGGACTTCATCTTACAGACTGTTAAACTGTCACACAGAAACAGGCTTTCCACTGCTCCTCCCAGAGCACCATGCACAGGTTTCCAGTTCTTAGTGTGGCTATTTAAAGTAGAAAATCTGGGGGCTGGGTGAGGCCACTCACACCTATAATCCCAGAAGGCTGAGGCTGGGGGATTCTTGAAGTCAGAAGTTCAAGACCAACCTGGGCAACATAGCAACACCCACTGTCTCTACAAAAATGAAAAAACAAAAAACCAAACCAAAAGAAAAATCTGAAATTTCCATCTGGGGATTAAATTCTTTCTTTCTGGTGAGTAATCTAGAGATTCATGCATTCTTCAAGCAGCAGAAGTTCCCAGAGCGATTAGGGAAGACGTATGGTCTGAATTTACGCATGCGCTGGGTGTGCTTTGGTTTTCGCTGGAAATTTGTATCTGTGTCTGGGCTCCCAAGAACATAAAGGTAATTGCCAAAGCAAGCAGTGATGTGGTGTGTTTATTTTCTTTTACTCTTCTAGGAACTCGATGCAGCTTTATATTTAATAAAATAGAGGTTGCATTATTGTAAGGGACTTTCATGCTTTTAAGTTTTGTTTTTTTAAAACTGGCTTCCTCAAAGCCATTTCCTGGAGGCGTACTCATCCCTCAAGAAGTGTGTTGACTGTAACTATGATTCAATTCCAAGCACCAGTGCGGTAAGTCTGGAAACCCAGGAATCGCCATCAGGGATCTGGGGCTTGGTCCAACTCCCCAAAGGAAACTGCAGGTCAGATGTTTTGACTTGTTTTTTTTTTGAAACGGAGTCTCGCTCTGTCGCCCCGGCTGGAGTGCCTTGAAACGGCTCACTGTAAGCTTCACCTCCCGGGGTTCACGCCATTCTGCCTCAGTCTCCTGAGTACATGGGACTACAGGCACCCACCACCAAGCCCGGCTAATTTTTTTTTTTTCACCGTGTTAGTCAAGAAGGTCTCGATCTCCTGACCTCGTGATCCACCCGCCTCGGCCTGCCAAAGTGCTGGGATTACAGGCGTGAGGCACGGCGCCCGGCCGCCAGATGTTTTGGCTTTTCATTTTATTTTGGTTGCAGTCAGGTAGTTAAGTCCAGGGACTCTCTTGCCCTACTCCACCTCGTTCTCATTCCATTTCATTTCCGGGGCACACAACTTGGAAGTCTTTTTCTCTGGAAGAAGAAAAATTCAATGTAGACCCTTAGGAACAGCATCTTCTTAGAGGGAAGCCAGGGACTGGGCAGAGGTGGGAAGAAGAGAGGAGGCACACTCTTCTCAGGAAGGCTCCAAATTGAAGGATAGACGAAGGTTACCGTAATAATAGTGGGGCCTGACCTCACCCCGTTGGATTTTGTGCCTTGGCTTGCAGAGCATTAGGAGGTAGCCTAGTAGCATAAATTGCATTTCTAGTGGGCCCAGATAAAAGCAAAATAACGGATTGATTCCAGCTGATACTGAGTAGCAAAATTTTGGGAAGAGTCAACAGTGCAAGTTTGTTGCAGGAGGCTGCCATGGGCGCGGCTATTCCACACATTACGGCGCGAGGCGAAAGCCTTAGTGGAAGCGCGTCCTGGGCGGGGTCGGGGACCCCGACTGCGCCTTGGCCCGGCCTTCGGTTCCGAGTCCTTTCCGTGTGTAGTCTCCCGGGGGTGGCGGCTCTGGGTGCGGGCACGGAGGCCCCAGGACCAGCTGCTGCGAAGACTCGGTTCTTTACGGCCCGGTTCCCACCCAGGTCTCGCGAGAGCGCAGGCGCAAGTGTCGCGATAAGTGGGCGCGGGCGGAGCGGAGGGAGATCCGAGCGGCGGCGGCAAGTGGGCTGCGGGCGACTGAGGTGAGCGGCCTGGCTTGCGCGGGCGGCGGGGTTCTGGGGTCCTGGGGTCCCGGGGGTCTCGGGGGTGACAAGGGCGGGGCCGAGGGCCCGGATCGGGTGTGCCCGCCAGGGTGGGGCACAAGGACCCTGGACCCCGTGCCTCAGGACCGCGCGCCAGCCCCGTCTCCCATGGGCGCGCTCTCCTCTCTGTGCTCTCCCCTCCTCTCCCCTCCTCTCCCCACTCCCCTGTCCCCACTCCGCTGTCTCCACGCCCCACTTCGGGCTGTGCTGGGTACAGCGGGCCCCTCGCCTGGGTCTCCGCAGCCGTCCCTTGTGCCAGGGCGGGCGGCCGAGGGGCGCGTGCTCGTGGCCCCAGCCCCGGGGTCCGGGTGCCCCCCGTGGGGGTCCCCGTGCCCGCCGTGGGGGTCTCCGGGCTAGGGTGCCGGCGCGCCGAGGAAGGGGCCTGAGCTGGCGCCTGGTGGAGAAGTCGGGGCTGCAGGGACTCTTGGCATCCTGGTGGCTCGCGCGGGCCCGCTCTCAGGAAGGGGGCGTGTGGGCCCGGTTTCCCCTCGGGGATGGCAGGGGTCGCTCTGGTCTCTTCTGGGCAATGGAGGAATTGGGCTGTGGAGCCTCCCTGCAGGCGGGCCTGCCTCTGCGGGGCTCGCAGCCTGGGGAGCTCAGGGCTCTGCTTGCAGCAGGCCGAGGTTCTTGTTCAATGGAAACTCAGAAACTGTGCAGCTGCAGGAGTTCTACCTTTTGGTTGTTAAAGGCGCTTGGCTGTTCCCCTCGTTAGGGCTGGTGGGCCGGCCTGCCGTGAGACCATCGTCAGCGCAGGTGTTAGGGGTGCAAAGTTCTTTGCTGCTGCTTGTCTTCAGCCTTCCAACGCCAGACAGACCCAAGTTTCCAATCTCCGTTCTGTAGCTTTTTGAAGCTTCAGTTTCATCATCTCTAGAATCTGTGTAAAAAGACCTAAGTCACCACCCTGTTAAGATTGAGCTTACAAATGTAGTGCTGGTCAACCTGGGGCCGCATTCCCATTATCTAGCAGTGGAAGACTTGAGGGATATTGACCCCATTCCCCACAACTTTGCAAGTAGATTTCACTGTCATGAGTTGACAGATGAGGAAACTGAAGTTCAAGACGTCTCCGTGCTCGGAAATGTCAGATACCTTTCTTTCCGGTACCTAGTTGAAAATAGTAGTAGTACTTATTAATGTCACTAGAAATAAACAATGAAAATTAGCACAGCTGTGATGATCATCTTTACTGTCACTGTTGCGTGCCTCATTTCTGATTCCCAGAGGCCAGACTTTTTAAAAAATTATTATTATTTTTTGAAACGGTGTCTTGCTCTGTTGTCCAGGCTGGAGTGCAATGGTGCGATCTCAGCTCACTGCATGCAACCTCTGCCTCCTAGGTTTAAGCAATTCTCCTGTCCCAGCCTCCGGAGTAGCTGGGATTACAGGTGCATACCACCACATCCGGCTTTAATAGAGACAGGGTTTCACCATGTTGGCCAGGCTGGTCTCGAACTCCTGACCTCAGGTCATCTGCCCGTCTTGGCCTTGCAAAGTGCTGGGATTACAGGCATGAGCCACAGTGCCTGGCCTTAATTAATTAATTAATATTTATTTATTTTGAGGCACAGTCTTACTCTGTTACCCAATCTGGAGTGCAGTAGTGCGGTCTCAGCTCACTGCAACTTCCACCTCCCAGGTTCAAGCGTTTCTTGTGCCACAGCCTCCTGAATAGCTGGGATTACAGGCGCGCACCACCACACCCGGCTAGTGTTTGTATTTTATTAGAGATGGGATTTTGCCATGTTGGCCAATCTGGTCTTGAACTCCTGACCTCAAGTGATCTGCCTGCCTCCACCTCCCAAAGTGCTGGGATTACAGGCGTGAGCCATCCCACCTGGGCAGGAGGCCAGACTTTTTTGTGAGTGCTCCTGGTAGTTAATTTCAGGCATCAGCTGACTGGATTCAGGAATTTCTAGAAACCTGGGAAAGCATCATTTTTGTTTCTGGGTGTGCCTGTGAGGGTGTTTCCAGAGGTGATGAGCTTGGGAGTCTGAGTGGACCAGGTGCTGAAGATCCACCCCCCAGTGTTGGGGTCACCATCCAAGAGCCTGGGGCCTGGAGAGGACAAAAACAGAAAAGGCGAATGTGTCCATCTGCCTGCGGGAGCTGGGATACACCCTTCTTCTCCTCTCCTCAACAGCAGCACTCCAAGCTCACCGGCCTTTGGTCTCCAGGACTCGTTCCAGCAGCTCCTCGAACTGAGAATTACACCATCGGCCCCCCTGGCTCTGAGGCCTTCAGACTTGGACTGTGTCACACTGCCAGGCTTCTAGGGCTCCAGCTTACAGACGGCCTGTTGTGGGACAGTCTCCCTAATCGTGTGAGTCTGTTTCCCTAATAATGCCCCTCTCGTGTGTCTGTCTCTGTCCTGTTGGCTCTGTCTCTCTGGAGAACCCTCTTACAGTGCTGTGGGAGGACGTGCCACCTGAGTGCTGAGCCCCGCCTCTTGGGCACCAGCTGTCCGTCTGTGTGCAGCTGAGACTCAGTCGGTGGCTCGGTGGCGGGGATTTGGTGGCATGCTTTCTTGCTTCCATTTTTTGTCTGGTAAATTGGCAGCATGGCTCCCAGTTGCCTTTGAAGAATGTGGTTACAGACACTGGTGTATTATGGGCTCCAATGAGCGTTAGGGGAGTGGGGATGTCCAGAGGCCCCGCTGACTGCACAACTGATGGCACGTAGAAAGGCTGGCCCTGACCAGTCCTTTGTCTGTTCC